AGAATGGGGTGAATGAAGAAGGGGAACCAGCTGATCCCCCCTCACCTGAAAAGCTTGATAATTTGGGGTATCTTGTCTGGAAATGTAAAAACTTATGGAAGCATACACTGGATGAGGTTGTAACAATAAGACAATGTCATACATTAGTCTCTTCATCCTTGGTGCAACGTACTTACAGTGCATTCCAAACAACTCACCCAGTCTTTTTTTTTGGGCAGCTCCTCCCAAACCCACAACCTCCACCACCTGATGGGACAAAGGCAACAGGCATCACATCCATGTCCCCCCTTCACGCTACCCACGACACACGATCCTGGCAGACATACATACTGCATTAACATCTTAAAACCCTACTACAAATAGCACCTCCATCCCACATAATGCAGCGGTTTAAAGAAACAGGTTTATCACCACTTTCTCAAGAGCAATTTTACACATGGATAATAAAACACTAGTCTCAACACTAACAATCACATTCTGAGAATATGTTTCATTACGAGTAATACCAACAGCATAACTGATACACTGTGTATGTCTCCATAGTTTGAACAACGTACCTGCCATGAACAACTAATTTTTTCTATCATCATTTATTATGCAACTGACAGACTGAACAGCCAATGATGAAGCTGGATCAAGTTGCAATCAATCCAATTGTTTCTCATTCATCATTCAGTTAAACCTTTTGTTTCATATATTTGAAAAGCCTGAAGAACATCCAGATTTGAGATAGTGTTTTCCTTCTTGAATAAGGCTTTATGGAACTCCTGAAGCATCATTTTGTCCCTTGAAATGTGCATTTCAGCAATTTTTCTCTGTTGAAGATCCAAATTTATTAATGTCGAAATCACATGGAAAAGGTAGCACTGAGCTCCTGCCATTAGACTTGGCAGGAAATCTAGCATTCTTGGCTTTTCCAGACTTTTTTCCCCACGATAACATGTTCCTTGTCTATCCCCCTTAAATAGTGTGGCCTTTGAAGTTTAAAGGAAATGTGGAAATTCCAAAATGCAACTCAATTATTTTCTGATTCTGCATAATACTTTGTTAGAAATTCCTCAAACTGGTATTGTCAGATCCTGATAGAGAGTGTGGTCATAAATACACAAGCCACATGCAGCATGTCATACTATCCCAGGGCACATTTCAGCAAGAACGAAAAATTTTAAAAAGAACCTGAGATGATAAAATGTGAAGTGGGTCTTTACATTTTGGGAGCTAACACTTCTGAATTATTTTCTCAGCACCTTCACTCCTCTGAATAATGAAGTTAGCTGTTGTTCATCAGGAAACGCATGTAAATGTTGACTCCAGAGGGAGCTTGTAGCACAGTGGCAGTGTCCCTATCTCCGGGCGAGGAGGTGCAAGTATCACCTGCTCCAGTGGTGTCTCATAACATGTCTGAACAGGTTGATTAGAAAATAACCAAAGGTTGACTCTATGTCCAGTTTGATGGATCCGCCTTTACTGGTGGCAAAAATGGAAATACGCATTCCCATTGCCAGAGGTTTCCAACATGCTTGGTGACCACACACCACTATTGCTTAGAAATTATTTTATAACAAAATTTTTTAAGACTTTAACATCTGCTGCAATGCTTCTTGATCACTGGTGTGTTTGCAGTCATTTGAAATCCAAGTAGTATACAATTCGTCTCAGAAATTTTATGATCAAGAAACTGATCAACAGAGAAATAGTTTTACTGACTTTATAACTTACACACCATTGAATTACACCTGATTAATGAACAGGAGAGCTTAGAACAACGAACAATAAACCCACAAACTGTACAAAGTGTTTAACTTTAAGATTCATCACTGGCGACGCCTGTGTGAGCTGGGACAGGGCCAGCTTCTTAGAAAAATTCCAAAGACCAAACATTCACAGCAAATGCACCATTTTCAAATCATAAAATTATATCTTTATGTCCTATGGTGACATTTTTATATTAGAATGAGAAAAGCTGTTGTTTGAGAAGGACCATTTTGCAGGCATTTAAAGGGAAGATGCAGGCCTACAATCAGCTAAGGACACACTTCGTCTGACTATTGTATTAGAATAATTTGGCCTCAGGATGATAAACCCAATTTGTCAGTATGCTGCATCAATTCATTGAGCCTCCAAGTATATAGCAACTTTTATTCTGTTGGATCTGCATCTTACAAAATCATCTTAAATAGGCAAACTCCAGGTTGTCCAGTGAACCTTTCATAATGATTCATAATTGCTTCTTATTGCTTTTTATCTGAGTATAATGACATGATTGAAATCACAATTGATACATCTTTGTGAAGTAACAATTTATCCCCATTGTTTCTGAAACTCATTGTGGTATCATTTTCCGACACTGTTAATGCCCAAAATGACCAACTCCTCCAGTTTTTAATCACTTACTTGTCATGAACAACTTGTATCATACTGATAATAACTAGTTGTTCTTTTTTATTTCAGGTCCCTTTACTACACTCTGTCAAAGATTAACAAAAGCAACATGTGAAGTGTAATTTCCACAATGTGCTTACTCCTTAAACGGACCATGTGGTGTTCAATTAACAATGAGTACTGTATGTAGTCCTAAGAACAACTGTCAACTTTCAGCTGGTTTGAAACTTAAGCTTGCCCAAAAAATTAATGTTAAAATGTACATTTAATCCATTGATGTTCAAACATCTTTTAGTTAATGGATCTATTTTGAAATGGATGAGCAATCGCAGATGCTTCAATCAAATGATAAATACTTGCAACATGGAAATGCTCCATGTAAGGTGCCTCTGTAATGCTTTGAAACAACTCAGCAGTTCATTGCAGATACCATTGAGATCAGTTTGTCTGCTTTTCACTGTACAACCTGACTATTCCTCCCAAGAGTACAGGCAGAAATCTGGAGAAAGCACGAGGGGAATGATGGGGTGAGGAAGAGCAGAAGCTCGGTCATGCTGAGGTAGAGACTGGGAAAACAAGCACATTCTTCTGGCGGCCATCTTTGATTTGCTCACTTATGATCACAGCGTCCCTCACAAGGCCAGCAGTGCACCACAGACTCAGGAGGGTCTCTATGGAGGAGGATCTGTGCATCCAGTTTTGAGAGCTACAGTTTTAATCCGCAATGGATACAGTTAACCCTTAATTGACTTTTACAGTAGTTTCTGGCAACAATAATCAGAATATCAGTGATTACAATTAGACAGTGCTTTCTATGAAAACAGGGGGCACAAACCTCACTGAAAGCTGTAGTCTGGAAAAAGCAGCTGCGATAGATTGGGAAATTGAGTGCACGACAAGTTGTGGTGAGCTATTCTCATTAAATCCAAAATGATTACAGCTAACTGGACACAGTGAAGTGTGTAACTCCTCACAGCTGAATTGGTTGAAAGGAGGGGGTAATCCAACTGGGATTGGGTAGTGTTTAAAGCAAAACAAAAAGGGGAGTTACAAGAATAGGCATTTGAAATTAAGGGAAATAAAGAGACATGCGGTGAGGGGTGTTGGATTTTGTCTTGTAAAATAGGTGGGGTGAATACCCCACTGCCTTCCTATCCATCCCAGTCAAGGTTCCCCAAACACAGGGGATGGGTCAGATACCCACTAGGTTGCTGGTCTTTAGGCTTATTAAATGCCATAACTGAACCGTTTAAGTGATAATCGTCTCAATCAACCTCCACTGCCATAAAATTTGAGGTGAGAGAGTAGGAAGGCCATTTTTCATCAAAGTTGTTGAAAGGGTGGGAAGGAAGAAAGTGTTAACGCCTGGGGTGCCATCTCTCACACCCACTTTTGTGCCTCCTATCTGATCTTCAAAGCCCATTTTCCACCATCGCATTCTCCCTTTCGTTGAGCAACCAATCCATCCTCACCCAAGAAACTTTGAATCTGTATTATCTGATGCGAGTGAAATTTCTTTGTTGGCTTCCTTGTTGGTCCAGCAGACCCTGCCACTTTCTTCTGGCACTTCGAACCTCAAAGGCTGCTAACTGATAGGAGCGTCCTTTCACTCAGGGGGAGGTGGCCAGCTCTCAGTATAAACCTGCCTGCAGTAACTGGCCTTTTCGCCACCTGACTTTATCTTCCAGCCCTATCCCTGACCTTGCCCAGAAATATTCAGCCCATGGGTCAAAACTGAACTGCTGTTTATAACTGCAGACAACTTTTATCTTTACTACTATTCTCCATTATGCTGGTCAAATCAAGGCCTCCCCCATGAAGTTGAGGATCTTCTTCATGCATAACATCTGGTGGAGCTCACTACTTCAACATGAGAAACAGCCAGAGCCACAGTGAGCATAAGTGAACCCATAATCCTCTCCAATTATTCTATTTCTTTCATAGAAACGTAGAAATAAGAGCAAGACTAGGTCCTTTGAGCCTGTTCCACCAATCAATAAGATCATGGCTGGTCATCCAATTCAGTGCCCAGCCCCTGCTTTCACTAGATATCTTTTCATGCATTTAACTCTCATAATTGTATCCAGATCCTCTTGAAAACAGTCAATGTTTTGGCTTCAAGCACTTCCTGTGGTAGCAAATTTGTTGGGTCAACAAATTTCTCCTCATCTCAGGCCTAAATGGCCTACCACGTAGACTGTGACTCCATGTCTAACCGATCCAATCTCTCTTCATACTTCAGTCTTGCTATCCCAGGAAACAGTCTGGTAAGCCTTCACTGCCTCTCTCCATAGCCAGAACATCCTTCCTTAGATGTGGAGATGCCGGTGTTGCACCGGAGTGGACAAGATCAAAAATCACACGACACCAGGTTATAGTTCAAACAGGTTTATTTGAAAGCACAAGCTTTCGGAGCCTCACTCCTCCTTCAGGTGTTAGTCAGAGAGGTAGTATTGGATACATATCTATGGGGTGAATTTGTATTTGCAGATACATTCTATTTTGTTCAAAAAGCACACAATTTACAGACAGTCAGTCACTGTTGTATTTTATAAATTCCTACTTTAGAAATAAAACCAGTCTGACTGCAAAACAAAATACAAAATTTCTAAACAAGGCCTCACACCTAACACGCAGTGTCTGACCTAAAATGTCATCTCTTCTTTACACTGATAAAACCTTTAGTTCTCACAGGACAGTGCCTTCAAAGCAATTTAGGGATTTACATATTCATATTAATCAATTAAAACCTTCTAAGTGATTAAAGATTTAACAGCCTTTTGGGTTTGTTTAGTATATCCTCACCAGTGGTGTGACCCTTTGATTTTTTTAGTTAGAAATTGTGTGTCTGATAACACCGATCTCACTAACATCTGAAAACTCATTTCTTCAAATAAACCTGTTGGACTATAACCCGGTGTCATGTGAGTTCTGGCCTTATCCTTCCTTAGGTAAGGAGACCAAAACTGCACACACTACTCCAGGTATGGTCTCACCAGTGGCCTGTACAATTGCAGCAAGACATCCTTATTTATTTCTGTACTCGAATCTTTTCCCTATGAAGGCCAACATAACATTCACCTCTTTTACCTTCTGAATCTGTATGCTTACTTTCAGCGATTGGTGGACAACACCGCCTGGGTCTTACTGCACCTTCCCCTTTCCCAAATTATCACCACACAGATAATGTGCTTTCTATTTTTCCTACCAAAGTAGAGAACCTCTCACAATTTCACATGACACTTCAGCTGCCAGGCACTTGCCCACTCACTCAACTTGTGCGAATCACACTGAAGCACCTCTGTATGCATTGTCTCACAGTTCACACTCCCAACCAACTTTGTGTCAGCTGAAAAGTTGAAGATATTACCTCTAATTCCCTCATCTAAATTTGTTAATATATTTTGACAATAGCCGAGGTCCTTGCACTGATTCGTGTGGAATCCCACTACGCAAACTTCACTCAAATTTACACATTGATTCTTCATCTTTGTTTCCTGTTTGCCAGCCAGTTCTCTATCCATGTCAGTACACTATCCCCAATTCCATCCACTAATTTACAAGCCTTTTTGAAAGCCCAAATAAACCACATCCATGGGCTCCCTCTTATCAACTTTACAAGTTGCATCCTTGAAAACATCTAGTATTTTCTCGAGATGATTTTCCTTCAATCAATCCTTGCTGATTCTGTCCAATCCTATCACTGTTCTCCAAGAGTTCTCTTATTCAGGGTTTTATACAACGGACTCTTGGCATTCTGCCTACTAGCAATGTCTGGCTAACTGGTCTATAATTCCATGTTTTCCCTCTACCTCCTTTTTAAAATAGTGTGATGTTATTCAGCTACCCTCCTATCCATAGGAACTGTTCCAAAGTCTGTTTCAGAGCATTCTTCTTCTCCCAAACCACACTCCAATATGGCTCCTTTCAACCTAACAGAAAACAACAGGCCAGACAGAGCTAGTCCAGAAAACACCCTTATTGGATTCTGCTATCAATGAAAAAAAATGATGAAAAATTACTCAAGCAATCATTCTTCTTAATATTTCATCTTGGAGTTGTAGATAATTTAGCTAAACTTGCCAGGACAGCTAGACTTCACCAGGAACTTTGCATATTCTATTTGCTTTCAGAATCAAAGGTCAATTTTCCGATCTCTAAAGTTCATCAACGTGTTGGCCTTCACTGTTTTTCTTCATGGCCTCAAAGTGGATTCTCAATATTTCACCTGGATCAAAATTCAGAGTGGACCCAACCAAACATATCCGCCATGATATTGTTGAGACATCAGAGTTGAAATCTGGAACAACATTCACAGAAAGAGATACAGGTGAAACTGGGATATTCCATAGTCAAAGGTTCTACAAACCTTCATATAGTGTTGTGATATTTTTCAACTCTGAAGGGAGCCTCATTTCTATCTCGGACTAGTTTGAAGAGTTTCAAGAAGGGGTTTGCAAGATACAGGATAAACATGCTTACATGTTTCTATGGGTTTTGTTTTTAGTAGTTTTGCACTAAATATCTTGCCACACTTCTCTTGGTGGTGGCCATTTGTATTTCATTTAAGACATAAACAGATTCAGATATGTTCAGATATGTCGCATATGTTCAGATGAGGCCAACTTTGACAAGGGAGCCTCCTTGTCCACCTTCTTCCTCAACCTGAGGATTCCCCAACTCCATTATCTACAGGGCCCTCAACCAGGTCCAACCCATCTCCCGCACTTCCGCCCTCACCCCCTCTCTTCCCTCCCACAACAGCAATAGGGTTCCCCTTATCATCAGCAACCATCCCACCAGCATCCACCTCCAGAAGATCATCAGACGCCATTTCCGCCACCTCCAGCAAGACGCCACGACCAGACACACATTCCCCTCCCCTCCCTTGTCCGTCTTCCGTAGGGACCGTTCCCTCCAGGACATCCTGGTCCGCACTTCCTTCACCCCCCAACACCTCCCCACAGCCCTACGACACCTTCCCCTGTAACCAGAGAAGGTGCAACACCTGCTCATTTACCTCCTCCCTCCCCAGTATCCAAGGGCCCAAACGTACCTTCCAGGTGAAGCAACACTTCACCTGCACTTCCCACAATCTGGTCTACTGCATTCACAGCTCACAATGTGGTCTCCTCTACATTGGGGAAACGAAGCGTAGACTTGGTGACTGCTTTGCAGAACATCTACGTTCTGCTTGCAAAAAAGACCCTGAACTACCTGTTGCCTGCCACTTCAATGCACCACCCTGCTCTCTGGCCAACATCTCTGTCTCTGGCTTGCTGCAGTGCTCCGGTGAAGCCCAACGTAAGCTGGAGGAACAACACCTCATTTTCTGCTTGGGGACCCTACAGCCCTCCGGACTCAATATGGAGTTCAATAATTTTAGGGCCTAAACTCTCCCATGTCCCAGCCCCCCACCCCACACACCAGGCCTTGTTACCACATAGCCTGCCATTACACACCCCCTGTTGTTAGTCACTAACAGTCCCCATTAACAACTCTTCACCCTCCCAGCCTGATCGTTAGCAACCTCTTTGTCTGTCGAACTGTCTTTCTCTCTTTTTGGACTCTATCCTATCATTTATTCCCTACCCCACCCACCTCCCTATTTTCTGCATATAAATTGACGTTTTCCCAGCCACCGTCCGTTCTGAGGAAGGGTCACCGGACCCGAAGTGTTAACTCTGTTTTTTTTCTTCACAGATGCTTCCAGACCTGCTGAGCTTTTCCAGAAACTTTGTTTTTGTTGCAGATAAATATCTTTTGGTTGCTTTGAAATTCTATATAAACATACAGAAACATTGGTGATGAATTCTCTTATTTGTCACCGCCATCATTATTTTGCTGTCCAGCTCATCTAGATGCTCAACACAAGATTCCAGTAGCTAGCCTTTGTTTCACAACATCCAGCCAAAATTCGAGGATTAGAGTTAAGAAACACTCTGAATCTCACAGACCCAAGCTTCACCTTGATGTATCATGCAGGGTTTGCATAAAAGCTGAATTTCTGAATGAAGCATGAGAACACGTGTGTCACAGAATCACACCAGCTCTGTCAAACTACTGCAAAACCGTTTTTGAAAATATTCCTTACTGAATACATTTCTACATACAAAAATTGTACTCCACTTTCTTTAAAACAAGTAGTTTTTTTTTTGAAAGAAACAAACTGTGTTTCATCCAGATAAAATAAGGTACCAAAGGGAACATTATTTTTAAGCAAGAGACATTTTGTCCTTCAGAACAGTGCCGTTGGCAATCTACATGTGATCTAGTTAATTATGCTGAACCATTAAGATACTTAAAAGGAACAAATGTCAAGAGTTGGATGTTCAATCATAGAAGAGGCTCTAAGTTAAATCAGACATGCATGTCTATTCACCATGTCTGATGGGAATGTGATTTATTGACTTTGTCTAAACTCCTAACCATGGAAACATTTTCTGCATTTCTATTGTAACCAACTCAAAATGGATTGCTACTTCCAACCAATGTATATATGTCACTGGTACATATTATGTAAGAGTGCGTTTAAATTCATTTATTTAAGACAACAGGGGTATAATATCTTATTCATGCTACTGAGTTCGATGAAAGTGAATTAGACAATTGGTAACATTTTTTAAAGCACTGATGAATATTAGTATTAATATTAATAAAAGTTAGCATAAATTCAAATGAAGTGCTTGAAACACAATGTATTCCATTTGTTCTTTGAAATCTTTAATATTTGCATCAGGAGAGGTCCATGAACTGGAGGAAAACAATTGAGAACCACTATTATTGAAGTGGGCTTTCAATTCATATTTTGTTAATCCAGCATGGATGGGTTTTATTTTTGTCGTGGCCTGTAAGATGAAATCAAGTGTGATAGACCTTGGAGAGCATTGGGATGGAGATAACATTTGCAATGAATTCATTGTTGGCAAGATCTCGGCCCATAATCTACATAAGATCAACTGAAGGTGGAATTCGCAGTTAGGTCAGTGACACTGGACTGAAGTGTGACAACAATTTAGAATATTATGCAAGTAATCTTCATAGAATTATAAAATCCCTACAGTGCAGATAGATGCCATTTGGCCCATTGAGTCTGCACCGACCCTCTAAAGAGCATCCCACAGAGTCACTCCCCCACCCTATTCCCATAACCCTGCATTTACCATGGCTAATCCCCCTAATCTACACATCCCGAAGGGCAATTTAGCGTGGTCAATCCACCTAACCTGCACATCTTTGGTCGGTGGGAGGAAACCCACACAGACTTGGGAGAACATGTAAACTCCACACAGACAGTCACCCTAGGCTGGAATTGAACCCGGGTCCCTAGTGAAGCAGCAGTGCTAACTAGTGAGCCGCCGTGTCGCCCTTTGAAAGAGTGCAATACCAACATGGACAACTAATTGGCAATATCATGCAAGCAGTTTAAAAGATTCAGACAAAGAAGCAGAATGAACACCATCAGATGGCTCTACGGACAGGACTTCTACTTTTAAAATGTACTTCCTCATGGGATTCAGAGCTTCATGTATATGCATAGCATCATAACAAGATTTTGGTTCATCCCTTTAGTACCCTGTGCTGCATCAAGTGGCCACAGTGCCTGGAGCTTTTCTTTCCAGTATGGAACTGATGGCTGACTCACGAGTGCACCCAGCATCTGATGCATGACACACATAGCTTCCAATGCAGCACAAGCAGCCTCTGGGGGAAAAAAAGAAAGTCTGAAAGCCGCAGTCGGAGCTCAGAATGATAACATGTGAACTCACAATGTCAGTATTATGGCTGAGGATCAGAGGGCTCAGGAGGAACCTGTCACATCATTCTGCCCTCCAACTGGTTACGGTGATTGATTGCTAGTGTTTGACAAGTGCAGCGGCTCTTTGGAGCATGAACCAGCTACTCTTTCTCAGGATGACAGCATTCATTCTCCCCTCCACCCTCCCCTCTCCAAACTTTGGCACTTGGTAGTGCCCTTGCTATTTCCTGCCACCCACACATAATGCTGCCACCCAGGAACGGGAGACTACTGGGGAGTGGGGAACAGAGTTGACATTAGTGGTATTGTGCTCAAATTAAGTCTTCATGTTCAGTCTGGGCAGGAAGGAATTGTTCAAGTTGCTGCCTCTCTTTCTGTTCTTGCTCCTCGAGTGTCTCAGCTGATAGCCGGTGGCATCCATATTGTATTCCCGCTTGGCGACAAGCTTCTGTGTCAGTCAGCAGACCTCTGAAAAGCTTAAGACCTAAATAGGCAAGTAATGGAGGGTTCATTCACAAGACAGACAACTGTTGCTTCATCACACTGATAGCTACTCTATCACCTCTCTTGAGGGAGCATGATCATCTTCACAGTCATGCGAACCAAGCCTGTGGGATGTAACCCAAAGTCATGAGTCATAAGACGACAACTTTCGCCAGCAGTCTTTTGGTTGTCATCTTAAGATTTGCTGTGGTAATTGAGATAAACACAGATATCCAGTGCACAGTCTCAAAATGAAAGCAGCCTGACTGCTGCCTGCTTACCACGATTTCATCTGTCAGCTGTACATTACCTGTGGTCACCTGCTCGCTGCACCATGACAGAATTGAATCCCTTTGAGTTGTGGTACATGGCAGAGTTGGCATGTGGCACTCATGAAGCAATGTCTGAGATCTCAATTGCACCATGCACCATAGGGAAGGTGCAAACCCTTCAAAAACTTTGTGCTTGCTCCACTGCTTCCCTATGACAAAAGACAATGCAGATGTTCTCTCTCTTTGGATCGGCAGCCTCAGCATCTTCCCTTACGTTGCAGTGCAATGTGAATTCACAAATCATTGCGAATATTTGCAACACCAATGTATAATGAGTTATCCACAGAATTATTGGTAGAACCATCAACAGTTTGATCCCTGCTCAGCTCTGAAGTTGCAAACTTGGGTTAGGACTGAGATTTAGGTGGTGGAATTTCTCCCTGCTCAGGTAAGGCTTCCTGCTAAGAAACCTTCTCTCCCTCCTCACACTTTGAGAAGCTTGGCCTCCATTCATTCTCCTAGTTAAACTCAATTCTTAAAGTGCTAACAAGCACACTCATGCCTGTGAGCTATTGCTAATGCAAAAGCCTTGCATTCAGGAAAATGTACCTCAGCACGTGTCACCTCATATACTGTGGACATTTGAAGTACCTATGGAAAACAAACAAAGTGTTGACCTGCAGCAACAACCAGAAGAAATCAACTTAAGTACGTAATGTATTTGCTGATCCTTTAATAGCACTGGGTAGTGGCCTATTCTGCTGCTTGATGTTCATTCAACAGTCC